CACTCTCTTGGAAGCAACAAAGGGGCAGGAGGGTGTAACCTCAGAGTTTCTTTAATCACTAACTTTAGGTATTGCAGTTGTTGAATATCAGTTTCTTCAATCGAGTTTTTTCCTCTGAAAGCATTCCTTATTTCACTCTGTGCCTTAGCCATCGCGCCTGGATTTCTAATCATTTCGGACATCGCCCAGTCCACTGTTGTGGATGAAGTCTCATTTCCTGCTGCAAATATATTCTGCACCAAATTCAATGCATAAATTCTTGGTTAGAGACTAAAAGATGTAGTGATAACCGGACAAAAATTGGTCGAATACTTACAATAATAACAGCTTTGATATTGTTGTTGGTAATTGGAAATTGGAGTTCATCACTTCCTTGAACTCGTAATAGGACGTCAATTAAATCTTCATGGCCGTATTCACCTGTGGATGTTTTTCTTTCTGATAGGTTTTCAAGATGCTGATTGATTATCTTATCCAAAACTTTATCTACCTTGTGGTGGATGTTAAGAAGTTTAGTTTCCGCTGAAAGGAGAAAATGAAGAATCTTGAATGATGGAAACAGATCAGAAATATCGAAGGCACTTGTTAGGCGAGTTACTTCTTTGAGTAGCTGTAAGAATGCAACATGATCATCTTTGCTTACTTTCCCAAATGCTGCTCTGCAAACCACGGAACTGGTGTATGAGGACACTTTTTCTGTTAAATCGATTGGTTCTTGAGCACCAGCTAGAACCCTAATCGATGATATCAGATGCAAAGCCTCATCTTGGCGAACAGAAGCAAATGATCGGACACTTTTAGCACTAAGGAGCTCCAAGGTGCATATTTTACGCATTTGTCTCCAGTAGTCACCATATCGACAGCAAGCGATGTCTGAACAATTGTAGCATATGATCTTTCCAGATAGAAATTCTCCGCGGTCTGCAAAGGCAAGATCATGAGTTTTCATGATCTCCTTTGCCAAACGCGGTGAAGTTACCACAATCGAAGATATTTCACCTAGCTGAATGTGCATTAGGGGTCCATAATTTTGAGCTAATTTTCTGAGAGCATGATGTGGTGGGGAGCCTATTAAATGATGCATATGACCAATAATAGGTAGTTTCCAAGGAGATGGTGGTAGTTTCTGGGGTTCTTTTGATCTCTTGATTCCCTTGATCAAAGTTAAAACAAAGGCTAAGAACAGAGAGAAAGCAATGAAGTTGAAAGGAAGTTCCATAGTATTGCTTTCTTGTTGGATGCTATCTTTGCAGTATTTTCAGCAACTACTTGGTCGCCATTGGACTCTGCAACTTCTTGTTTTATCCTATTTCAACCACTTGGTCGCCGTAGACTTTATGGCTAGTTTTATTTTTTTTAAAAAATCATATAGACAATCTTGTAATGCGGTGGTGTGAGGTGTCCCATGGTTGAGATTGATGGATTTATTGCAAATATTCTACTTCAGCCCTGTACCACGCTAAAAACAAACCAAGAATGATACTCATGGAGAATTAAATATTGTAGTGTAGCTCTCAGCTTAAGTTTCTCACCTAATATATAACAGTGAAGATTTTTTTTTCTTTTTTGTTTTCTTTTGCATCTTCAAAATGTGGACTAATTTCGGTTTGCATTTTTTTAACTTGTATCATTTTTTCACTTTGCATTCTGAACTTCAATTTTGAATACTTTAAGCCCTAAATTCTTAATTTTGGACACTTTGTACCTGAAACGTTCAAGTTTGTTCAATTAGATCCAATTGATGATAAATGTTTAGCAAAATTAATGACATAAAGAACAAACAAATCAATGGTAATGCTCAAAAAATGATCAAAAGGTGTCAAAGTATCATAACAAAAATAAAATAGTACTTTGTCATTAATTCCTATCATCTTTTATCTCGTTAATTTTGTTAATGATAGTGATTAAAATCATATAAATCAATGACAATATGTTGAAAGTGGTCCAAAAAGTTAAGAACTTGCAGTTAGAACAAAATAGTATGTTTCCATTAATTTTAATCATCCTTTATCTCGTTAATTCTGTGAATGTAATTATTAATTAAATTTAAATGGGACAAACTTGAGAGTTTTGAGTCTAAAGTATCTAAAATTAAAAATTTAGGATGTAAAGTGTCTAAAATTGAAGTTTAGAATATAAAGTAAAAAAGTAATACAAGTTTAGAGACGTCAAGTGGAGTTAGTCCTCAAAGTATTCTAATTGCTGGTTTGTGAGAGTAAGATGTGAACGCAGGCATGCTGGAACATAATTTTAATAAGATCTTCTTGATAAAAGTGCTGCTTATCACGTGCTATGCAGTGTCATTTAGAGTGTATTCTTTCTGTTAAATTGTTATTAAGAAGCTCGAATTCTAATAGTCTTAGTGCTTGATCGGACGCATTACGTTTCAGAATGATCATGAGTTGTCACTAAGCATTAATATCGGCCGTCTTTATTTTATTATTAATGAGCAATCATTCACCTGAATTCTTGGATCTTAAGATCGAAATTGAGATAATTTACTCCAGCAAGAAGTTGACAATCAATCACCAAAAAAAAGGGATTAAATCCCTCTCTGGATTGTAGGTCGAAATTTCGAAACTCACCTGTAATGAAAAAAATTCAAAAAAGATGTCAGTACACCGGTTTGATCTAGTTGAATCCGTAAACCTATTAATTCTTTATACAATCTCTTTAGACTTCCCCTCTACATAGAGTAGAATAGATTATGTTATATAAATGTTATCGTTATAGTAAAAAAAAAGTACTTGACAATCAACTTAGATCTTCCAGAATGAGCTGCCGGTTGTAGATCAATACGAGTTAATAATCATGAGGAAGTGATTAGTGTTTTGCATAAAACAAGGGTATTAAGTGTGTTTGAATAGCCATTATTTAGTCAAAAATTATTTGCTTACATTACAAACACAATTTCTAACGCACCTTTTTATCTCCAAGATTTTGAATTATTTTATTTTGAATTAATTTGAATTAATGTTATCTAATGGTTATTAGTTTGTTTAGTTTACATGTTTAAGGGCCACACTCCTTGCCAGGCGCGTTGTGCGTCTTTGACGAGCCAGTTAATATTTTAACCACAAACTGCAGCACTTTGCTAGTATTATTACTTATTACGCGTCTCTCCCTCCATCATCAGTCTATTTCGCCGCCGACGGGATGAATAAGAGTTTGTTGACAAGAAGACTTGTCTCATGACTCTCATCTGATATTTTTATTAACTTTCACGTGGCAGGTACACAATGAGTATGACAGCCATTATTGAGATAGCTTTAACGTGATCGGTACGGTACGAATTCTAATTATTTAGTTTCGGGAATCCAATCTTTTAAAAATAGTAATTTGATTCTGATATTTGTGTTTTTTTTTAATTTTATTTTCATAAATTTAAAATTTAAATTTAAATGATAACATGCATATAATTAGATGAAGGGACTGTATCAAAATGAAAATCTAAAAGATACTTTAATTTTTTCAATCGAATAAATATTTTAAGACATTATAAAATAGAAAGTACGACAAAAATAATTTGCTTGGGCGCACTTCTTGGACTACAATTGTAGGGCAAATATTTCGATAAACCCGGATTATGACCCCACATATAGACCTTGTGGTCTAATTTAAGCTACATCATGGTTTCTATTGCTGAATTCCAATTCTAAACGGCTCTTGGCGAATTCCTTAAACCATGGCTGCTTTCAAAAAAAAATCTATTAAATATTTCTCGTGGCACAATGAGTACAGGAGGATACACGCATTCTAAGGAGCAATATTTGATGGGTTTTTTTTAAAGGAGCTATATTCTAAAGAAGGGTAAAAAACTTCAGCGGCCACTGAACTATTGTCCGAATCATATTTTGACCATCGAACTATTGTTCATTAATAATTGGCCACTAAATAACTTAATCAGTAAACATGTGACCATTTCGTCGGTAATGGCTCTTAATTTCTGAAATTAGCATTACACGTGGCAAAGTACAGGGGCAATTTTGTCTAATAATTTATTGACCGTTTACCTCAATTTTCATTAAACCATCGAAGAGAAGGGAAGGGAAAATCTTGGTTTAGTGTGTCTGGTCTTTTGTGGAGTAAAAAATAGGGCCTCAATTGGGAGCCCTAAATCATCAATCAGAAATCGAAGAAGCCAAAGAATGTCGAGACGCTCTCCTAAACCTATACCTAGATGCTCTTGCGGATTAACAGTAACGATGAAGACCTCACGGACAAATTGAAACCCAACAAGAAGATATGTGGTCTGCACTTTAGGAGAGGTAAGATGTTAGATTTGTAATGGAGATGTTATAACAAGAGAATTTAGTTTTGGAAAATGTAAATTGCGGGATGAGGATGTGGCTTTTTGGGAATGGTATGATCCAACAATGTGTGAAAGATCAACTCAAGTGATCCCAATTTGCTGAAGAATGAATAGAATAGAAAGTAGTATGGAGGAACTAGAAACTTCAACAAGAAGATGGGAAAGTAAAGCTAAAAAATTGGAACTTAAAGTTTCAAAATTGGAGAGTAAAGTGGAAAAACACAAGACCAGAGAGCACTATCTCCTAAGAGCTCTTCTCGGTACATGGGTTTTTGTATTGTTGTATTGTCTCTGCTGCTATTTGAAGACTATTATTAAGAGTGACCATATGTTGGCCATCAAGGGATGGTTAATGTTGTTGGGTGATTGTGAAAATATAAGAGTAGTAAAGTTGAGTGGATGCAGCTTTTGGTGGTAATATCTGTAGCAATAACAGACCAAAAAGTTTTCAATTTGCAGAAGTACACAGCTTTCTTTTAAACATGGAAAAAGACAGTGGATAAAAAATAAAAGGCATCCACCATAACAAAACAAAAGTCATCCACTATTAACATGAAGCGGATCCCCTAAACTTTAATGCATCTATTTTAATAGCCCCACTTAAATAAACTATTATAAGTCAAAAATTAAGTCACATGTACATATCAGTCAACATCATCAACATCTCTAAAACTCTATCCAATCCCATCTAACTTGCAGCTGCACCTCTACCTCTTGTAGATCTAGATCTACCAGCATTTGCACCTCTTCTACCCTTCCACCTACCAACCTTGAAGGGTGGTTCCTTTCCCAAATAGGCATAATTAGTGTTAATCATCCCTTTGTCAGCATCAGTCAAGGGCTGTTTACCATTTCTATTGAATTTCATGCCAGATCTAGAACTTGTAGCTGCTGGATTTGGCTACTGAACTACTGGTATTGGCTGTTGAAATAGGTGGCTACTGGTATTGACTGCTGAAATGGTGGAGTGGGTGTTGGGACATTAGATCTGATTGCTGAGTCGTAGATGCGATTGGTTGGCTTGGTTGGTTAGCTAATGGAGTTTGCTGTTGCTATTGCTGTTGCCATTGGGTCTCTAAACCATGTGACTAGACTACTTTTGCTTGCTGTTTTCTTCTTGAAACCTTGTACAAATAGAAGTTGAATTGATTAGAGACTACATGTAAGACATTTAGAATACAAGCTGTATGTATCCTCACAGGTTGTTTGTTTTTCTTTGGCTGACCAGATTTTTGGTGCTCAGTCATCTCTTTGTATGTTGCAGCATTGTGCCCTATTTTAACACATTTTCTGCAATGCATAGTGACATTTTTTTCTAAGCTTTCTTCCATGGTTCTTCCCCTCTGTCTCATCTCATTTCCTTGCCTTTTTTGGCCTCCCAGGTTGGACAGTGGACATTGGAAGATCGAGTTGAAGAGTGCTAGACTCAGGCCACAGTAGTTGGCTACTGATGGGTTTCAAGACATTATTATAAACCTGTAAAAATAACCTTTTGTAGTGAAATTCCGCAATCATTTCATGTGGATCATTCTCAGTTTGCTTAATTGCTGCAATGGCATGGGTACAAGGTAAACCAGATAATTCCCAAATTCGACAAGTGTAACTCTTCTTTTTCAAATTCACAGCAAACTGGGAATTCGTTGGGCACTTTACCTGATAACCATCAATCCCATTGAATTGTGGGAACCACTGGAAAGACTCTTCAATTCTGTCCTCAATAATTTTTCTAATCAAAGGACCAGTTGAGTGTGGATATCTAGTCATGGCAGCCTTTCTTTTTTGAATTCTTTCCATCATCAGTTCTCTAGCTTTCTGCAATAAAGATATAATTGGTTCATCCCTGGCCTCTAGTATATGTGAATTGAAAGGCTCGCATAGATTGTTGACAATCATGACACATTTAGTGTGAGGAGAAAAGTAAGCCTTACACCAATGCATCGGACGAGGAGCCTTCTCTATCCACTTGTATGCTTCACTATCATACTCTTTCAAGTCCTTAGCAGCTTTTTTATACATCTCAATTGTGCTGCTCCTAATTGTTGACCATAGCATCCCTTTAAGTGCCTTTCCAGGATGTTTCTTCTTGAAATTTCGATACATGTGCTACACACAGTATCTATGCTCAGAGTTGGGTAGCACCTTGGATAATGCTCTGTCCAATGCCTGCACCAAAAAGAAATGAATTATTGCTTCAAGTAGCCACAAGCCTCACACCAATTGATGGATAATAAGATCCTTACCTTTTGTTGATCAGAGATGAAAGTGTAGTGATACTGTTTATCTATTTCCAGATCTACTTGGAGAAGTTATAAGAACCATTTCCATTGGACTGTAGCTTCCTTCTCCACTATGGTCCAAGCAATAGGCTACCAACCATTGTTGGGATCAACTGCCACTGCTGATAAAGGTTGACCAGGGTAAGGGCCTTTTATATGGTAGCCATCAAGTCCAATCACAAGTCTACACATTTTGAATCCTTCTTTTAATGCACCCAAACAACAGTACAACCTCATGAACCTAGGATTCAAACTTGGATCTCTAAATGGAGTGAACTTGACTACCATGGCAGAATTAGTGTGAGTCTTCTTAATCTCCTCACAATATTTCCATATATGCTTGTTGATCTTGATCCCTATCTTTTGATATTTACAAAACAAATGGATGATACTAATATCTCTCCAAGAAATATTTTCAATTATGAAGTTATGTGATTCCATGAACAATTGCTATTGAAAGAAGACAAAGGTTGTTGAAAGCTATCGGACGCTCAAAAAGACTGCATCGGACATTCGACAACCATTGAGTATTTTCGGACGCAGAAAACCAGCCTACCAGACGTCCGAAAGAATTGAAGAAAATCTCTTAAACTCTCTGCCTGCTGTCGGACGCATAAAACAGGGCTATCGGACGTCCGACACTGCCAACGTATAGTTGACTGCTCAGCTACTTTCTATCCGTTGGAAGCATTTATGAGGCACTTTCTTGTCTCTATATAAATAGTGGTTGGTCAGATATTTCAAATAACTTTGGCACACTGAAGATACAAAAGATCTAGAGAGATTTTAGTGAGAAAATACTCTTCAAAGAAGATTTGTAGTCTTAGTGGTGTGAGATTCTTTGTAAGCTTTTCATTTGTGAGTGAATACTTCATGAGTGTAGCTCTGTGAGGGTTGTCCTGAGGAATAGTAAAACGTCCTGCCTTGACCGAGTAGAGTTCGGGGTAAGGAGGAGGTAAACCTTTTTTTGTACACAAGAGTGATTATAATTCATCAACTTGAAGTAGTTTGTTTCAATTAATCTACAAGTTCAAGAGGAGTTGGGTAGTTAATTGGTTTGCAATCCTTTCCTTTTTATTTACTGTTACATTTGTGATCTTTAAATTGTTTATCTCTTTCACTTGGTTGTTTTCGATCCTTACAATTGGTATCAGAGTTTGGTCTCCTTGAGATTAAGCTCAATCGGCTTGGGAGTAAAAATGACAACCAATAATGTTATGTTTTTTGAAGGACATTCTATGATTAGACCACCTATATTTAATGGGTCAAATTATGTGAGTTGGAAAGAATGAATGATTATCTTTTTACAATCCATTGATATTGAGTTATGGTTTATTGTGAATGAAGGACCGCATGATGCTAACATTCTTGATGCAATACAGGTTTGTTTCGGCCAAAAGCAAGAGTTGAGTTGAATGTTCAAGATAGAACCAATCTCACATTGAATGTCAAAGTCATGAATGTTCTTTATAGTGCCTTAGACTCAAATGAATCAATTAGAGTCAAAGGCTGCAAGTCAGCCAAGGAAATTTGGGATAAATTAAGAGAAATTCATGAAGGTAGTGAGAATATTAGAGAACAAAAGAAATCCATTTTAGTTACAAAGTATGAATCTTTCAAGATACAACCTCATGAAAACATTGATGAGATGTATTGTAGATTCAATGACCTCATTAAGGATTTAGAGGTGCTAGAAAAAGAATATTCTCTTGGTGATAAAAATAGAAAAATCCTGAATGCCTTGTCCAATGATTGGAAAAATAAAGTGACTGCTATTGAGGAAGCTAAAGATTTGAATACTATGCCTATTGAATCTCTTATTAATTCTCTAACCTCTTATGAGCTGAAACTTAAGTCCAAAATGCAAGAGGATGAGGATGCGAAAGTAAGAAAGAGCATTGCTCTAAAAGCATCTCAAGATGAAGATGATTCTGCCTCCCTAGATGAAGATGATGCAGAAGGTGATGACAATGATATCGCACTCATCACAAGAAGCTTCAAACTAATACTCAACAAGAGAAGATTCAGAAAATGTGGACTTAGCAATTCACTCCCAAATCAGTTCAACAACTTGAGAAACAAAGGAAAACTAGAGTTTAACAAAAAGTAAACTGATAAGTGCTTTGAATGCGGCCAACCTGGACACTATGCAAGTGAGTGCCCAGTGATGAAGAAGAAAGAAGAAAGAAAATCAAGATTCAACAAATTTCAATTCACATGGAATGAGTGCAACTCCGATGGTGAAATTGAAGAGGATGAAGAATCTGCTCAATTGGCTTTTATGGCCATTGGAGATGATGAGGTAACATCTTGTAACTCTCAATTTGAGAGTGATGATAAAACTGATGATGATCTTGAATCTTTCATTATAAAATTGCATGATAGTTTGAAAGAATCTTATGCTAGAAACAAAGAATTAAAACAGAAAATTATTTTTTGTTTCGAGATAATGCAAATCTTTTTTAACAAAATAAAAAGCTGAAAGCTGAAAATAATTACTTCAAAAAAAGTGAGACTGCTTTACACTTAGAGCTTGATAGAAAAATAAAGTTTTGTGAATTGTTCAAAATGGAACAAGGTAATTTGAAAAGAAGAATGGATGGTCTAAATGTGTTGCTTAAACACAAGAAACAAGTCTGTTTTCAAAAAAATAGGTTGAATTCTAATTCCAACGAATTTGCTATCCATAGGAGAAGACAAGTAAGATTTATTAAATCTATTCATGTAAATAACTCTTTGATTATGTGTAATTTTTGTTGTCAAAAAAGTCACACGAAAAGTGATTGTTATGTGAGAAAGAATATGAGAAGAGGCATGAAATGCATGTGGATAGTTAGACATGATGCTAACTTTAATAAGTAGGAGATTTTGTTAACCATTGCAGTGATTCTTGTTCACAATATATAAATTTTTTTATATTTCTGATACTTTGATTTGAGTTTTCGCTGATATTTTTGAATACTACTGAATCTGTATGATGTCAAAAAGGGAGAGAAAAGAACTATTATGATCTAACGATGATTTGCTAATCTCTCTGTGATATGTTGGTATGTTGGTATGTTGGTATTGCTGAATTCTGGTATCATTTCTCTGTTTTTTGTTTGGATTATTAGATTCTCTGTTATTGTTGTTGGATTATGGTTGCTGATTATTACTCTCATCTTATGATGATAAAAAGGGAGAGAGATGGATGCAATGTGTAAGGAGGAGTTATTCTGAGATTATGAGTTTGGCTCTTAAAAGTTTTGGTTGCGATGATTGAGGGGGAGCTTATACTTACTTTTGTTTCTTTTCATCCATTGTTTTGTCATCATCAAAAAGGAGGAGAATGTTGATCTTGATCCCTATCTTTTGATGTTTACAAAACAAATGAATGATACTAATATCTTTCTAAGAAATATTTTCAGTTATGAAGTTATGTGATTTCATGAACAAGTGCTATTGAAAGAAGACAAAAGTTTCTGAAAGCTGTCGGACGCTCAAAAAGACTGCATCGGACGTCCGACAACCATTGAGTATTTTCGGACGCAGAAAACCAGCCTATCGGACGTCCGAAAGAATTGAAGAAAATTTGTTAAACTCTCTGCCTGCTGTCGGACGCATAAAACAGGGCTATCGGACGTCCGACACTGCCAACGGATAGTTGACTGTTCAGCTACTTTCTATCCATTGGAAGCATTTATGAGGCACTTTCTTGGTTCTATATAAATAGTGGTTGGTCAGATATTTCAAATAACTTTGGCACACTGAAAATACAAAAGATCTAGAGAGATTTTAGTGAGAAAATACTTTTCAAAGAAGATTTGTAGTTTTAGTGGTGTGAGGTTTTTTGTAAGCTTTTCATTTGTGAGTGAATATTTCATGAGTGTAGCTCTGTGAGGGTTGTCCTGAGGGATAGTAAAACGTCCTGGCTTGACCGAGTGGAGTTCGGGGCAAGGAAGAGGTGAACCTTCCTTTGTACACAAGAATGATTGTAATTCATCAACTTGAAGTAGTTTGTTTCAATTAATCTACAAGCTCAAGAGGAGTTGGGTAGTTAATTGATTTGCAATCCTTTCCTTTTTATTTACTGTTACATTTGTGATCTTTAAATTGTTTATCTCTTTCACTTGGTTGTCTTGGATCCTTACAATGCTTATACTATTCAACTGCACAACCTTTGATTTTGTCAACAGCTATACCTCTAGCATTTCTAGCTATTATTTTTGATACTTGTATCTTGTACTCCTCATACACTGTCTGCCTCAAAGAATGGACTGGAATGTTCTGTAAGAGCCCGGTGCAACCCAATGAGTACAAACAAATTCACAATGATGCACAAAGATATATCAAATTTAAGCACAATAAAGAAAACTTAATTAAAGAGAAAACATAAGAAATGCAAACCAAATATCAAACCAATAGTCTCTTCAATTGATGGCGATGCTAACCAAGATGTACAAGTGAAGGCTCACTCCTTCCTCACCCCAAATACTCTTTGGTTGAGCCAAGGAGTTTTACAACTATTCTAGTTAACCCTCAACAACCTACACTTGAAAGATCACTCACCCAATTAAGAACTATTTTATACAAATGAGGCAACCTTCACCAAGGTTTTACCACTCCAAGTGATTGGTTCACCTTCACCAAGGTTTTACTACTCCAAGAGAGTAACCTTCACTTGAGCAACCTCACAACCCAACTTCCCCAACCCCTTATACAACCAACAAAGAATCTTTCTACTCAAAAATCTCACTTGTAAGCTTGTATTTTGTGTTGGCAAAAGTCTCTAGTCTTCTTGTGCTTTGGGGTTTTTATAGAAGGTGAGAAATGGCTCCAAAAGAC